TCTGACAGAAGCCTGAGAAAGAATCATCTATTGCAAACGTGGGTGCACTTACCTCTGCTTACACATGCCTGCAATGGGGTTTGGTATGACTGACAATAAGACTCTGCTGACCTTGCGTCCTGTACCCTAGAGACAGGAATGCTTGAGAGTTTTACTGCTTTGGTCTTCAGTTCTTTTTGCTCCTTTCATTACTTTTCCTTTTTTGTGCCAGTCCTGGGGCTTGACCTCTAGGCCTGGGAATTGTCCCTGAGCTTTTTTCCTCAAGGCTAGTGCTCTACTACTTGAGCCACAGCTCTACTTCTAGCTTTTTAAGTAGTTTAGTGGAGATAAGAATTTCATAAAGGGGCTGGGAGGTTGGCTCAGTGGTAGAGTGCTTGCCTTGCATGCATGAGGCCCTGTGTTCAATTCCTCAGCACCACATAAACAGAAAAAGCCAGAAGTGGTGCTGTGGCTCAAGAGGTAGAGCACTAGCCTTGAGCTGAAGAGCTGAGGGACAGCGCCCAGGCCCAGAGTTCAGGCCCCACGACCGGACCCAAAAGTAAAAGAAAAATTCAATATTCTTTCATGATTAAAAACTCTGAACAAACTAGAAGTATTATGTCTCAATACAGTTCAGCTAAATATAACAATCTTGTAGCCAACATCATACTAAATTGGAAGATACTGACATCATTTCTGCCAAAATCAGAAATGACAGAAGGGTGTCAATTCTCTGTATTCTTGTTGAGTTGGGCAAGTTAAAGATAGATTAATGCAAAATAATAGGATGCATATAGGAAAGGAAGAAGTCAAAATATCTCTAATGGTATGACCTCCAATGACTACAAAATTGTCTCCAAAAACATCTTGGATATGATAAGCACTTTCTGCAAATAACAGGATACAAAATCAATGTATAAGTATCAATACATTTTCTATACACAAATAGAAATAAATTAGGAAAATAATATCATTCCCAAAATTCATAAAAATTACATCCTAGGAATAAACCTAAAAATGAAGTGAGACCTATACAACAAACTATATTCAAGAAATTGAAGAAGGATGATATTGATCAAGACATTATACTCATAAATTGACATACTGAATGATAATTTTGTATGACTAGTTAATAAAACAATTTTTTTGGTCGGTCATGGGGCCTAAACTCTGGGCCTGGGCACTGCCCCTCAACTCTTCAGCTCAAGGCAAGTGCTCTACCACTTGAGCCACAGTGACACTTCTAGCCTCTTTTGCTTATGTGGTGCTGAGGAATTGAAGCCAGGGCCTCATGCATGCAAGACAAGCACTCTACCACTGAGCCACCTTCCCAGCCCCTAATAAAATTTTTTTTAAAAATTGAAGAAAACATTAGAATAGGAAAAGACCCAGAAAGTGACTATGCTACCGAAAGCAATCTACAGATTTAACACAGTCCCATACACATTCTAATGTCCTTTTGGATAGGCATAGAAATACCAATCATATACTTCATAGTCAAAGCAACTCTGAGCAGAAAGAAGGGCAATACTTGATTTTAAATTATACTACAGAACCATAGTTACCAAACAGCCTGGTATTGGCTCAAAAGCAGACACACAGAACAACTGAAACAGAAGGTCCAGAAACAGGTATAGATAAGTTTGAGAACCTGGGAGAAATTGAATTATTCCTAGAGAACACTGATATCCCCAAACTGAACCGTGAAGATTTAACTCAACCAAATAGACCCGTAACAAGTAATGAAATTGAAATGGCAATATGGGACCTCCCTTCCGAGGAAAGCCCAGAACTAGATGGATTCACAGCCGGATTCTGTAGGGTCTTCAAAGGAAAGCTCACCCCCATACTCCTCAAACTCTTCAATGAAATAGAAAAGGAAAGATCACTACCAAACTCATTCGATGAAGCCAGCATAATGCTCATCCAAAAGCAGATAGGAACCCATCAAAGAAAGAGAATACAGACCCATCTCTTTGATGAATGCTAATGCAAATCTCCTCAACAAAATTCTGGCAACGACTAACAAAAAATTTATACATTGAAATCAAACGGGATTCATTCCAGGGTTGCAAAGCTGGTTCAATATATGAGAGTCAATTAATGTAATCTAACACATCAACAGAAGCAAAGACAAGAACCACATGGTCATCTCAAAAGATGCAGAAAAAGCATTTGACAAGATTCAACACCCCTTTATGATAGAAACTGGTGAAGCTAGGAACCCATGGAACATGTATCAATATAATAAAGGCTGTATATGATACACCTACAGCCAGTATTATATTTAATGGGGGAAGTTAAAACCATTCCCTCTAAAATCAGGAACAAGACAAAGATGCCCATTCTCTCCACTCCTCTTCAACATAGGGCTGAAAGTCCTAGAAAGAGCAATAAGGCAAGAAAGAGAAACACATAAAGAGGATTCAAATAGGGACAAAAGCTATCCAGCTGGGAAGGCGGCTCAGTGGTAGAGTGCTTTGGAAAGGCAACATCAGCCAACACATTGCCCAGAACCAGCGCTGCAGCAAGGGCAGGCCTACCCAGATGAACGATCCTGGGGGACCTGAGGAAATGAACCGTCATGAATTAGATGGCCTCAGGACACTGCCACAGCTCGGGGGTTGGGCGGGTGTTCGTGGAGAACTTTGTGTGGAGAGTGAGGTCTGATACAGAGCCAGGGAGGAACTCCAGCAGTGGGAACTCTGACAGTAAAGGGGCAGAGGTGAATGCCCCACCCTGCCTTCCTGGGGCAGAGGAGTCCCATTGTCTGAGAATCTCAGTGGAAACAGATCATGGAGGATATGGCTAGTGTTGTGTTCCACCGGCAGGTTCCTTCATCTTCCCTGCTTGAGGTTCCTGAATCATGTGATTCCTCCTCCTTCCTGTTAGCACGTGCTGCCTCTGGGAAGCACGTTGGTACTGTTGGATGTCAAGTGGGACAAGGGCACCAGGTCTAGGCCTCTGAATCACATGATTTCTATGGAAGCCCGCTCTCTGCAGGGGAAGCAACTTCTGAGGATGGCAGGAACCACTGATACTCGCGGGATGGTGCCAGGGCGCGGGCCCTCCCCAGGGCGCACCACCAGTGCATCGAATGCCACCCCACTCTGCTTCGTTTGGGGCTCACCAGGAGGCCTGAATTCTTGTTACTTCTGAGGACATAAATGGGGGGAACTTGGAATGTTCCCTCTGACTGCTCACTGCACCTCTGAAATAAAAATCACCCAGTAAACAGCTGAATTAAACCCAAACTACTCAAATAAAAGCTGCATGACAAAGACAATAATGCAGCAGATGGAAGAGTTGTTCAGTACACATGTAGAGATTCTAGCCACACGTGTCTGCGATGCTACTGAATAAGCTGAGATTCAGAGGATATTGATTCAAAAGTGGCTGTGAAGTAAGTCTGCAAAATTTCATCTTTCAAAATAGCAAAAAGCCAGACAGGAGCCATGGCTTAAGTGTGGGTGCCAGCCAAGCAAGCTGAGCAAACACAATATATACATAAGCTGGGCACTGGTGGCTCACGCCTGTAATCCTAGCTACTCAGGAGGCTGAGATCCGAGGATCACGGTTCAAAGCCAGCCTGGGCAGAAAAGTTCATGAGATTCTGATCTCCAATAAAAACCACTAGAAAACCGGAAGTGGCACTGTGGCTCAAGAGGTAGAGTTCTCGCCTTGAGCTGAAGAGCACAGGGATAGTGCCCAGGCCCAGAGTTCAAGCACCATGACCGAAAAAAACAAACAAGTAAATAAATAAATGTGTGTATATACATATATGTGTTCATCCATGTATAGTATGTTTATTCACTATATTCATAGTGATTGACCAGTGATAGATGATTTACTTATGTATATTTAATATATTATATATAGTAAAAATTAAAAGCCTAAAAATGAAAATCTTAAGTCAAAATGAAAAAATTCAGTAGAAAGCCGTATCAGAAGACTTTACAACTTGAGACAGACTATCGAGCCTAGGAGAAAGTAGATACATATAAACATACTGTAATTTAAAAAAAACTGGAAAACTATGAATAGAAACTCATAATTACTCTGTAATCAAAAAGGAAGTATTTCTTGATCATAACAGAAAAAGAGAATTTTAGATATAGTTGAATTGAAAACTTAGTAGGCTTATAATTTAACAAAGACTGAAAAACAATCTCTAACTAGTCTTGTATAAAATGAATAAATTGTATTTGTTAAGAGACTTATATAAAACGCAGCTGGATCCAAATTATCCTTGGAACAAAACTGATTAAGGTGATTAGTCTTAACAAATTCCAAGATCCCTTTGCCACTTGAGTTTAACGTGACCCTCACTCTCTTTATTCTGAAACTGACAGCTCATTCTGGATTGAATAAGATAGTGAAAATGTTCAAGAGTGACACAGATATTGCATGCTACAGTAACAGTTTAAGTTGCTGCTTGTTGCCCCTTTGGTAGAAGAGTTGGGATACAGAGAGTAACTGATGTGCTCACATACCTAGTGAGCTGAAAAACGACTTACTCCAATGTCACTATGAACTAACTCACACATCACTGTGAGTGCTGTGGGCAGCCTATCAGCTCCCTGGTGCTGTAACTCAGTGTCTGACACAGTCAACTTAAGGAGGAGAGCTGTATTTTGGCTCCTGCATTCAGCCCATGCTCTCTTAACCCTGTTGCCAGGGCTGTGGCAGTAAAATGACCATAGCCAGGAGTGGGAGAGAAAAGCTTCTCACTTCATATGCCGGGAGAACGAAAGGTACTGTCCCAATGTCCCTATCAAACCATGTCCCCAGTGACTTACCTTGCACTTGGCCTCACTCTCCCATAGTGCCCCAGGGAGGGGAAACTCCTGAACATGTGGCACCTTGGGGCTGTTACAGATCTAAGCAACAACAGTGGGTTAACTAGGCTCTGACCGGTGAGAACACACCACACATCTCCCTTGAGGACCCATTCAGAAATATTAAAACATTCACATTCCACAACAAGTATGTATTTCAACTGCCTTTATTTCTTAGCCATACGTATATGTCAAAGTAATAAATATACTGGGAAAAAGCCATAATTCTACATTGTAACTGGAGTCACCTGGCACATGGTATATTTCACAATGCATTATCTAATTTTGAGGACATACCCAACTCTGAATAATTAAATATTTACTCTCTACCACACATGGTTCTCACAAAGATGATCACACGTTTATCAGCACTGATCAACACCAGTGGACTGACTGTGGCATAAATATGGCCAACAAGAATCAGGATATAAAATAAAATTGGGTCATCATTCCACATAATTCGTGAGACATGGATACTGTAGAACAAAATGGACATCACCAAAAAGAAACTCATGAGCAGCAGAATGGTCCGGGTGGCCCTTTGCTCTGGGGAAGCGTTTGGAGAAAGGCTGGTGCGGTGAAGATGCCGGGAACGCCTCTTGTGCCTGCACAGGAGAAGGGCCATGTGTCCACTGGAGAGGAACATGAGGCCCATGAGGAAGACTTCCCGTAAGGTCAGCAGTGTAGAAAATACCTGCCTGAGAGTGTGAGAAATGGGACAAACGGAGCAGGATTTAGATACATAGACAAGATTGCTGGAGGTAAAATTGGGGGTACCAATGACAGACAAAAAGATGTGACTGTTCGCTAACATGTAGAAGACCCACAGCACAAGAACAGAACACAGGTAGTGATGTGGGGATTTACTCTTGAACTTTGCCAACCAAGAGTTTCTAGGGCTGAGGGTGATGGCCTGGAGGACGCTCAGCAGGCAGGTGATGCAGACAGACAGGGCCCTGATAAACCTGTGTAAGTAGACAAGTGATTTACATGTGATGTCACCCCAAAAACCCTCCCAGAACATTAAAATGTCTGTAGCTATGATTGCTGCGGTTATCAGCATCGCTAGGTGGGTGAGAGCCAAGAGCCCAATGGGCAGGTCGGTGGGCTTGGGATTGTGCTCAAGAAGGAAGATGAGGATATGGAAGAGAAGGAGGATGGCATTGCCCAAGATTCCAATGGCATATTCAAAGAAAATGGTGCTTCTGATAACAGTATTCTGGTACAGATCTTTTCTAATCATTCTACGTGATAAAGAAGCATATATTCAATATCTATGGAGAAAGAACAAAATACTTCATTATGACAAATCTTACTACTTCATTAATCTCAACTAACACCAAAGGTTCTGTCAAAATAAAGAATAACAGTGAAGCTCAAAACACACATCACCATTGTTTCATGTGTACATTCAAAAGGATGATAATAATAAAATAACATGATTTCGAAAGGTGGACTGTTTGGATAGATCCAAGTGATGGGGGTTACAGAACGAGGTGATGAGGGTCTAATGAGATCAAAGTACATCATCTATATTTATAAAATTATTGTAAGGAAAACCATTAGGAACAGGGGTGGAGGAAGGGGGTCAGAAAGAGTAATTCAGAAGCCGAATTAATTAAAGTGTGTTATATGTGTGCACAGAATAACCCAATGAAAAACCTTTTGCACAATTTATGCTACTAAACATATGTGTATCAACCCTCACACACCCTTTTCCTCCTTTCTTATCAAGTTTATCTCACACTTTGCAGAAACCACAGCCATTGGTTCCCACATACCAACATATCCAAATTAGGACAGGTTTACAAATGCATCTGATAGGATAGCTCCCCATACGTGATTTCTTGCCACTGTGATTTGCTGTGTGTAAGGAATGCATTTCTGTGCATTACTTCCTCTGTGAGTTTTTCTGGGGTAAGAGCATTATCTTATTTTGTTCTCATCTGCGGTATCTATTTCTCATTTTCAGTGCCGGGAAGAACCCACCATGGCAACCATGCAAACTATGTAATCACTCCGTCACTACCACACCCACACCCTCATGCGCATGACCTTATGTGCATAAAGGTAATAAGCACTCAAAAGTACTGGTGAATTGAATGGTGAGGACTGAAGGAAAGTGACGAGGAGACCTCTGCAGCCAACCTCCACAGGTTTGACACACAGGTTATTCACTGCTTTCTCTCTGGATTTAGTATAGTTAATGTCAGACCCAATATCCTTAATAGATGAACAGAGCACAGGCTGCTATTGGTGGGCTGTAAAACTACTGCCTGAATCTGCAAACATGACCCTGAGCTACAACACTGAGCGCCAATCTTTTCTATATGAACAGTGGGAGTCATATTACAGAAGTGGGTGCTGGTTGCTCAATATTTTTGTCAACCTGAGAGACGAGCAATGAAGGATTACATTCAAACCTAACCCGGGCACTAAAGTCCATGAGAACCTCTCAAGTATGAGATGGATTGGGGCCACATGCCTGCCTGGGACCCCAGCTGGGAGAAAATGACTAACAGAGGATAATACACACAGGAATACCAACGTCCAGGAAGAGAAATCCCTATAATAACTACCAAAACACAGAATGGAGGCATTCCTCAGTCTTAGGAACACCAACCAAATAGAGCTTTGACCTCAGAACTCAGTCAGACCACAAAAAGAATAGGACTTGGAAAAACTAAGCATTCATACCAAATATGGAAGTGCTTCTGGCATGAAAAGACCTCTGTTGAACAACTGGCTAGTATTTTATCATTATGTAATTTCTCACACGTGGGATTTGAAATAATGCTGTTCTTTTAATATCAATAGCTTCTTTCTATCCTAGGACAGAGAAGATTTAAAAAAACTACAAAAGGGTAAAATAGTTTAGCAGTCTCCATTCATAGAACTGAGATTTCCAAATCTTTTGTCTGAATTGTTCCAAAATAACTACACATTCTATGCATGTTTATTTTTACGTCAAAATCAATACTCTAAATGACCAGAGCCTACACTCAAACGTTCATCACAGCTTACGACAAAGTGTTTTATATAAAGAGAGGGGTAGCATGGCCCCTGGAACCCCAATTCACATAGACTCTGAGACATTTAACATTCATTTGGGGTAAGACAAGCATCCATCCAGCCCTGAAGTTCTCCACAGGAGTTCGAGTTTCCTTCCTGCCTCACGGGAGCCATGATGCCTCTCCAGACTCAAGAGGCCCAAGCATAAAGTTAATAAGCGACAGTTTGTTGATGACGCACTGGAGGAACACCTCCTTATCATCACCATACATGTTTAATTCAAGCCTTATACACACTAGTTTTCAAAGTTTCCAGTGACACATTGAAACTATTAAAATTTTAAATCAGAGATACAAAGTGGAGTCATTTTATGATTCTTCAGACTGTTCAGATCAAAAAACAAAAGGAAATATACAGAAAGGGAAATATTTATGAATATGGAATTCTCTTTCAGAATTCAGAGCTGTTAAAACACTGGAAATGTGATTTTTCAAAAATAAAAATTTCATGGTAGCATTAAAAGAATCAGCATTTTCCCAACTAGTAAACTATATTCTACAATCACACATACAATGTATATTAGTTAAGTCCTGAGAAATCAGAAAAAAACAATACACCCTTGAGGGTGAGTACCCTGGTGTCACACCTGAAATCTGGGCTACCTGACATGCTAAGAGGAGGATCATGAAGGTCAGCATGTGCAAACAGCTATCTATACCCCAGGGGACACATTAAGGTGAAAAGAGAGGTTGTGCCACAGCTGAAAAAGTGAATGACACCCTGGGTCCAAACTCCAGAACAGCAATGTAAGAAAGTATGATAAAAGAAGAGGAAGGAAAGAAGGAAGGAAGGAAGGCAGGCAGGCAGGGGAGAAAGAAGGAGAGAAGGAAGGGAGGAGAGAAGGGGGAGGGAGATGAGTAAGTACATGGAAATAGAAGAAAAGAAACTGTGTGCCTGTTCTTGCAACCACGCCTCAGGTTGCAAACTCACACACTTTGTTGTCCATGAGGAGACAAAAAGCCCTGTCCTCTGCAGGGTGTCCTGGGGGGGTGCCCCGGGAGGGCCTTGACTGGAGGGTACCTGTCCTCTGCAGAGTGTCCTGGGAGGTGCCCCAGGAGGGCCTCAGACTGGAGGGTCTGAACTGTGGCAATGTGGGAAATGGTTGAAAAGCTGCAGGCTCATGCTCAGAGCTTCCATTTTATACACAGGAAGAAACAAGCAAAATGAGCAGACTTGAGCTTTTTGTTGTCCCTCATAGAGAAGGTGAGGCAGCTACAGAGATTTCCTTAGTACCTGGAGGAATAAGCAATCATTTCAGAGGCTGTGTCCCTGGTAGTTGCCCAGGTCCTGTGTAAATGGATCACCAGCGAGCTCCAAGCTGGGGTGGAGGCCCGGGGCAGCGCCCTGAGCATCGGGAGGCGGAGGATGGGCTGCCTCAGCACTGCCGGGCACGGCGGGGACGTCTGCGGGGACAGACTGCAGCGTGGAGAGAGGGAGGGAGGCACACCTGCTTCTCGTCTGCAATATGAACATAATTGCGCTTATCCACTGGGTAAATAAAGATGCTACTGCAGATGATACTCAGGAGAATGACAGAACTCATGTCTACCCAGGCACACCACAAAGCACACACGTTCCTGGCACCACCACAGCTCCGCTTCACTACTGACATCACCACCATAACCTCACAAACGAAGGCGACCCTGCCAGCCTCACGCGGGTGGCCCTGGAAACTAGAAGAGCACCTGGGGGAGATGGCTCCAGCCCTTGGAAGGAAAAACACCCGCCAGACACCAGCCCTGTGCCCAGAGAGGCCACAAGGGAAGCCCGGCCAGGTAATGGGCAATATCCAGAGAAATGTCCGGAAAATGGTTGGTTTTTCAGCTGGTTCTGAAAAACAGGATGAGAATGTGCATGACTTTGTAAGCTGACAGAATGGTAAAGAATAACTCAGGGCTCACACTTGGCTGACACAATATCTATAGCGTTAATGTGTGAAACTGCTCTGGGAGACGTCCATAGAGGAGTTCTCGATAGGGAAGACCGGAAGCCGGAGGAGTGCCATCCCTGACAGGAGGATGTCGCCTGGGAAACCCAGACAGACCTGCAGACAGCCTGCTTCCTGAGAAGCCCAGGGATGAATCAGAGGCATACTGCATTCTTGCTAAACAGCCTTGGCCTTCCTTTCTCCCCAAACTCACTGTACCTTAGGAACAAGCAAATTGGTTCCTATGTCTCTCTTCATACAGATAATAAGAAGAGAGTCTGAGAAAAATAAAAACTAAGCATGGAAACAAGGGCAAGATGAGACAGGAAAATTGCATGACAAATACTACCAGATATTGCAGGCACATCAGGTTAGCCTCCGTGAGTTACAAGCTTTGGAACAAAGAACCCCATTCCCGCTAAAGAATTCAAAATCTCTTTGTTTTAATTTAAAAACTTACAATTCACATGTAGCTCACTTTTCTACTTGATTTATGGAGAGTAGCCAAGCTTTTGTCATAATGAGAAAGAAAAACATCATTTCGGGACTGGGAAGGTGGCTCAGTGGTAGAGCACTTGCCTTGGATTCATGAGGCCCTGGGTTCGATTCCTCAGCACCACATAAACAAAAAGAAAAAAGCCAGAAGTGGCACTGTGGCTCAAGTGGTAGAGCGCTAGCCTTGAGCTGAAGAGCTGAGGGACAGCGCCCAGG